CCCCGCCTCCCCCAACCCTGTGCTAGAAAGTGCGGTCCTGTTTGACTGCATCTGCTGCCAGTGCTGACGCCTGGTGGTAGAATGAGTTACTGCATCTCCTTCCAGAAATCATCCTAAACCGAGTTGACTCCCAACTACCTGGAGTGAAATTAAACGGAGCTCTGCCTAGAGACAGTGACATGTAATTGATGACCCCAGAGTTCATTTTGGTCGTGCAGACCTATGCTCTTCTAGGGAATTTACATTCCCATAGCCTCTGGGATAATTATCCAGGACTGATTTTTAATGTGGATTGTGTCTCACATTCTCCCGGGGGCAGGGGGAGAGGGGAGAGAAGAGGAAGAACAGTGGATAACCTCACTGTGCTCCCTCCAGATTACATCACACCCACCCCTCCTATCATAGAGCCCCGCGGACCCTCTTCTCCCTCCCTCCCAAGCAGAGCATAAAAACCAGAGCACAAGTTTTTTTTCCAAATAAGGCGGAGACAGGCAAGGAACTAAAAAGCTGGTCCAGTCAAGCCTGAGGAGACATAAGGTAGGAGAGACAAAATGTATGAGGAGTCAATGAGGCATCAAGGCTCAAGCTGAATCTATAAAACAATAGTAGCTCTCCCATGGGTGGGAGAGCCGCAACTACAGCTCATGTAATTTGGAACACATCAGAACTGTGTCCTGTCCTGTGCACTGTCTTCTGAGATCTGCGGAACTCTGACTAAGGCTGCGGCTCTCCTTCGCATGCCTGGCCAAGCCTGCGCTTGGGAATCTATCCTCTATAGATGCTGCTATGGAGGACAGATTCTCTATATCCAGTGGCCAAGACCTTGCCATCATGGGAGGAGGCAGTTCAGTCTTTGTCCTTCCCACAAACCTTTGGTTGGTGGGGAAGTGAAGATGGAGTCCCAGACCTCTCTGACGAGACCTGCTGGAGGATTGCATCTTGCTGGAAATCTAAGCTCCCCTGCCAAGAAGGAACACTGTTCTTTATACAGGGAGTCACAGCCCGTCGTCTTTTGTAAGGTGCTCTCAAAGTGCCTATTCCTGGCTCCATCAGTTTTTCACCTCTCCTTCCCTATCTGATATCAGGACAATGGGTGAATATGGTGAGAAGCCCCCCCTAGAAAGGCCAGCTCAGAATATAAACCAGATGGGAGGGTAAGAGGGCATGGGGGATAGGGAAGAAATACTCTGATAACCCAGAAATTGAAAGAAAGAGCGAGAGACACACACACACACCACAGACACACACACACACCACAGACACACACACACACACACACACACACACACACACACACAGAACAAGCGATGATTTAAACATTAAAGGATGATCTTTGACCAAGGTCAAGCTTCAGGTTCACAAACGCAACTTAAAAGGTTGTGAGCAGATGTTATCTATTTATTCATGATTACATTCTTTTAAAACAATTACTATGTTCCAGATAGTCTGTAAGAAACTAGGTACAAAATAAGACATATCCCTTTTTGCTGGAAGATGCCACTCCATTCTCCTGATGTTAGTCCATGTTGTCTGCTGTGTAAGAGGATCCATGGCCAGGTCAGAAATGCTGTAAGTTAAAGGTTCTTCCCACATCTGACTGTGTGCATCCCACCTCCCTCCAGATCCCAGTCCGGTGCCCTCATCCTCCAGCACCTACCACGCCATCATTGGTGGGATCGTAGCTTTCATCGTCTTCCTGCTGCTCGTCCTGCTTATCTTCCTTGGCCACTACTTGATCCGGCACAAAGGTCAGAGGCATGATGGAAGCATCAGGAGGGATTGGGAGTGGGTAGGGAGATCAGTGAAGGGCAGGCTGCAGGAAGGGCCTTTGGAGACTCAGTCGGCCCCTCGGAGAGTTTGAGGAAGAAAGAACACAGCCAACCCTGTGATAACTGAGCACCTCACAGTAGAGCCAACCCCACAGTAGAGCCTGATCCCTTGGTGGCCATCCAAGTAAAATCAAACCTTCCCACTAAGTCAGCTGCTGCTCCCATGCTGCTCTGCCTCCAGGGTCTCCTGCCATAAGACAGAGAACTGCTGAAACTCTGCCTCTTCTTCCCATTCCTTCCTGCACTTTCCTCCTTTCTGTTCAGCCTCATGTTTTTTGTCTTTTGGTCTCCCTGTGCCTTGTCCTCGCACCACCCCTTTACTTTTCTCTCCTCTCCTGTATCCCTGCCATCTCTCCCTCCCCTCTTCTCACATGCCTTCCTCGCAGACCTCCCCCTCTGTTATTCCTTCTAGCCAGCAGCTGGACTTACGTGGACTGGGCAAATGCTAGCCAGATCTCAGGTTCGTTGCCATGGAGCTGACCTAGCAGTTTCCCTATCACCACCTTACATGCACACACGCATATATATACACACACACACACACATATACACACACACCATTTTTTATTTTGGCCTGTATTATAGATCAGACTCTAATTAAAGGCAGGATTCATTAATTCTTGGAAGTGTGGTCAGGTGATGGATGTTGGCAGCAAGATGCAAATTAGGGCATGTGGGGAGGAAGAAAGCTCTAGGCAGGAGAAAAATTACAGAAGCAAGGTGTGGGTGGGTGGTGGGAAAGTGGACAGAGGGGCTTCAGAGGTTTGGAAACTGCTCCTAAAAGAAGGAGCCTCTCTCTCTCCCCAGGAACCTACCTGACACACGAGGCGAAAGGCTCTGACGACGCCCCAGATGCGGACACAGCCATCATCAACGCAGAAGGCGGGCAGTCGGGCGGGGACGACAAGAAGGAATATTTCATCTAGGGGCAGCCCCCCAGGGACCCCGTGAGGACTGCTGGGGTCATCACCAACCTGGACTTGTACAGAGCGACCCCAGGACCGCCCCTCCCGCTTGCTCCCCAGCCCGCCCCCCACTCCCCTGTACAGAATGTCTGCTTTGGGTGCGGTTTTGTACTCGGTTTGGAATGGGGAGGGAGGAGGGCGGGGGGAGGGAGGGTTGCCCTCAGCCCTTTCCGTGGCTTCTCTGCGTTTGGGTTATTATTATTTTTGTAACAATCCCAAATCAAATCCGTCTCCAGGCTGGAGGGGCAGGGGTCCTGGGGTGAGGAAAGCAAACAACAAAAAGAACAAAAACAAAATAAAAAACAACCCAGAGTGTTAGGAGGAGAATGAGGAAAGGGTAAGGGCAGGAAAGAAGCGGGGTCAGTTTGGTGGGGGGCTCTCACCAGCCCTCCATCTTCTGCAGCAGGGGCTTTTCCCGGACTTCTCCAGGGACGGGGAGGTTGTGACCAGGAGCTGGAGGTGGCTTTTCCTCTGTTAGTCGCACACCTTGAGCTCTGGACACAGGAGCAGGTACCATCTGACACCCCTTCTCCACCCCAACAGGAAAGGAGTGAATGGGGGTCCCCGAGGGGATGTGACCTGCAGGTGGCATGCAGCCACACGTGCGGGGGGACCCAGGGCTTCCCCATAGGGGAGGGCACAGGTCCTTGCAGTAGGGGCAGATTTGGAGAGGAAGGATGGTGGATATGGCCCCCCACGATGAACGAAGCCAGGCCCTTTTCCCAGGAACCGCCCTTGGTGGTGGGGGGCGCGGATAGCAGAGCAAGGCTGCCCCTCCTTGCTCCAGCAGCTGTGGGAGAGGCACTGCTCTGGGCCCTAAACTGCATCCGCTTCCCCGCCGAGGGGCCCTTCACTCTCACCCGAGCCCCTGGCCTGTTGCACGGCAACCACTCATCTTATGGCATTGCTCAGCAACTCCTCCCCGTCTTGTGCTGCCCTGTGGCCCTTCCTGTTCCCGAAGCTGTCCCTAGTCCTCCCTCCCTCCCTCAGCAGCCAGGCAGACATAACAACAAAAATACTAAAAGGAGCTTCACTGCACTGAGCTGTTTCCTGCCCAAACGAAGGGAATAATGTGAGTGCGTGTCTGTGTGTGTGTCTGTGCACATATGTGTGTGAGTGAGAGGCAGAGGGGCTCCTGGGCATGTGGGCGGGCTGTGGGAGGAGGGCTCCTGTAAAGGAGGGCTTTGGGAGCTGCCGGTCCCTAGGCAGGCTGTGTACCTCACCTGGGATGTTGCTCCATTCTGGTATTTTCCATGCCGTCCCCAGCGCCCATCTGTCATGGAGAAAACAGTCCCAGGGTGTGTTTTTGCTCAGTCGTCCACCTCATCTCTCCCTAAAACACAGGGCATTCAACCCCCACCTCCATTTCCCCTCTCACAGCCACGGAGTCAGTGCCACAGCCTTTGCTATGCATCCCCCAGGCCTCTCCCTGGCGCTGACCCTGGAATGACCACTGTCACTTCTTGTTCCCATAGTCTGTACCCGGCGCATTGAGGGCTGGGAGTGATGCTGCCTGTCTCCTTCCCATCTCCACCCCTGCTTTTGATTTTCTGTCTTCCTTGTGGCCGAGCCGGTTGCCATGGAGACGAGACTGCTCGCCCTCCCCGCCAGCCGGCCGCCCTGCCTCAGACCCAGGGTGCCCCTGGGCACTGCTCTGCCCCTCCTCCAGCATGTCCTCCTGCCCTGACAACCCAGGGGCGTGCAAAGTGGGAGCAGCTGCAGCCAGCAGGTCTGCCACCCCTTTCCGTTCAGGTAATACCGTTGTGAATCTTCCAGCCGCTGGTTAGAGCCCGGGGTCCCCTCCTCTTACAGCAGCAAGGCAGCCTAGGGCCCCAGGCCTGTGGGCTCCCTGCCTCCCAGCACCCGCTTTTGGGAAAATGACTTTTCCTCTTCGAGCTGAACCACTCTGTCCATATTACACAGAAGCCATATTTGTACGGGGGGGGAGGGGAGGGGCCGTTGTGCTGTGTGTGTGTCTGTTGGTGGGGGGGGCGGGGCAGGGAGCAGGGAGGGCATCATGTATCTTTATAATCTTTCTAACTCTCCTGTGCTAATCTCAGAGGGGCCACCCTCAATATATCTGGATTATCCGTGTCCTTCGGCTGCCTCCTTCTTGCCGCCCTTGCTCCTGTTGGGATGCTTGTGTGTAAGGGCTGTTCTGCTGCCCCCCCCCCTCCCCGCACGTGGCGCCTCCAGGGGTGGTGTGTGCCTTGCCATGCTGCTCGCTCGCCTCAGGGCATCTTGTATGGCATGGATATAACTCTCCAAGGGAGAGAAGTGTGTTCATCCCCTTTGGCCAGGTCCTTTCATTCCACAGCACCTGACTGCTCCCCATGTCCTGTGCCAGGCAGTGCTGGAGAAGAAGACCCCCCCAACACCATTCCGGGACCACTTCAGCAGACCCCCCAAACTCCCTTTCTAGCCCACCTCATGTTGAACTGGAAAATGAAGCTAGAGTCCCGGGAGAAAGGGGGCCGTCTTAGCAAGATGGCCATCCCTCTGCATCTTTGCTTCCACCTCCAGGCTGCACTGTGTGAGTGGGAAAGACCACTCGTCAGAACTGACTACCACATCCCGCGCTTTCTTGGACAAATGAAACAGTGTCGCCTAACCAGCCCTGTTTATCTCATCGTTCCAGCTCGGACACTCCATGACTCACCCCTCCCAATGTCCAGGCTAAGTGTCCCCAAGTGAGGAAATAAAATGCATGGTAGGGGTGCAGGGAGCCAAAGAGCAGAGATGACGTGAAAGCAGTGGGATGGTGGGGAGAGGGGGTACCAAGGAGCAGAGGTGTCGGTTTAGGGGCATCCTCCTGCAGGGTACATGCCTTTTCTCCCTGTGCCAACTGGAGAGAAATAGCTCTCCCCCACCACAAGAAACGTTACAGCTTGCTAAGATGCCAGGCCAGTGTAGCATTTCCAGAGCTTTTATGTCCCCCAACAGAAATATGAATAGAGATTACCCCATATGCAAGAGTCCCACTTTAAAATATGCTGTCCCATTGTCCCCCAGAGCCTGCTTTAACTTGTCACGTCATGTGTTCTGCTTGGTATGGAAGATGCATTCGCTGTGCCCATAGGTGGCTGGGCAAGTGCCCAATCGCTCCCTGAAGTAGATTCATTATGCAACCTTGACAGCTGCCCCCGAGCCCTCCCTCCTCTCACACTGAAACACCCAGACCTGGAGATAGCAGTGCACACACCAAGACACCTGCCTAAAACCTAGCACTAAGTTATGATACACAGGATACACGATACACAGCCACACACACAGACAAGAACAGATAAGTAAGTACATTCCTACACCCAGACTGATACACAAAGAGCCCCTGCTCGCACACATGTGGCTCAGGCTGTCAGCATCACATGGATCCAGCCACAAGCACCACTAACACCCCCTCCCACAAACACGTCCCTTTTGAACTATCTTTCCTTGGATCAAGTTCAAGGGGACAGAGAAGCAGTGAGAGCCATCAGCTGCCCTTTCCCTCCAACTTCCCAGCACATCTCTTATCTCTGTCTCACACTTCACCTCTGGCCCCCTCTTCCTTCCTCGTGCTTGAAGAATCCCTTTATGCTGGGAACCCCCTGGCTTCTCCACCTTCAGAAAGTCTCCCTTTCCATCTTCGGGAAAATACCCACCTTCTGGTCCCCACCTTTTTCCTTTCCTGAGCGCAGGTCCCCACCAGCGGAATCCACCCTCAAAACAGGAAGCCCTGGGCCAGGGCCTCAAGTGGTCCTGAGGTTCAGGAAGGCAGTGGGCGTGGGGTAAAGACTTCCTGAATGCATCCCCATCCTGCACTGCCCGCCCCATAGCCCTGCCCAGAGCCAATGGCCTTCATTAGTCCCTGGCACTTATCTGGGAACCACAGCCACTGACAGAACTATCCCAGCCCATCTCTCTGCCTGCCCTGAGCCCAGCAGTGTCATGGGGAACTGTCTGCACCCGGTGAGTGTGGGTCTGAGCCCACAGCCCCTCCCTCTCTGCCCCCCCACCACTCCTTCTGTCTGCCCCTCGGGTCTGTATACCTCTCTTCTTCTCTCATCTCTTGTCCCTTCCCTCGTTTTCCTTCTCCCCTTTTTACCTCAGTGTCCTAGGTCCTCCTCATTCATCTTTGTCAGTTCCATCCAGACCTCCCCCCTCCCCGCTCTCCCAGTCCTGTCGACTCCCCTTCCCTTGCTTTTCTTTTCTTTTCTTTTTTTTTTTTAAAGATTTTTTTTGACACGGACCATTTTTTAAAGTCTTTATTGAATTTGTTACAATATTGCTTCTGTTTTATGTTTTGGTTTTTTTGGCTGCGAGGCATGTGGGATTTTAGCTCCCCGACCAGGGATCGAACCCGCACCCCCTGCACTGGACCACCAGGGGAGAGGCCCTTCCCTTGCTTTTCTATGACTCTTCGCTCCTCCTGAGTCGCCCTGCCTTGTCCTCTCCCACCATCCCCACTCCATCCAGCTCTTCCAGTCCCCACTTCCCCACTGTCTTTCTCTCCCCACCTCTTGCCCTCGGTTCCCAGGATACCCTTCAGTGAGGTAACTAGGTGCTCTGATTGCCCCTTCTGAGAATGTCCTCCAGGTGGCTGATGACAACTCTACTAAACTGGCCATTGAAGACAAGATTTGGAGTGAATTTCTTGAGACGTACGATGCAGACTATAACTTCACCGATGTGGAAGCAGCTGCGCCCTGCCACTCCTGTATCCTGCTCAACGACTCCTCACTGCCCTTCTTCATCCTCGCCAGTGTCCTGGGCATCCTGATTAGTGGAGCTGTCCTCTACGCGTTTCTCAGACCTCTGTTCCCCCGTCAGGTCTACCAGAACTGGTCTATCCTGGTGCAGTTGGCTGTGGGCAGTGCTCTCTTCAGCATTATGGTGCCCGTCCTGGCACGGGGGCTAAGTGGGGCCCTCATCACCTCCCTGTGCCACCTAGCTCACTTGGTCTCGTATGGCTCAGCCTTTGCCCAAGCTCTGCTGATAGGGTGCCATGCCTGCCTGGGCCCCAAACTGGGTATAGGTCACGTCCCAGGCCTCAGGCTGGGGATCAGTGTGGGACTTTGGGGAGTGGCTGCCCTATTGTCACTGCCAATCACGCTGGGCAGTGACACTTCCCATGGACTCTGCACAGTGACCTTCAGCGGGGAATGGGAAATTTTGCGGTACATACATGCTGCAGCCTGTTTTGCCATCTTCATCTTGTTGCCACTGGGTCTGTTGGGAGCCAAGGGGCTGAAGAAGGCATTGGGCAGGGGGCCTTGTCCCTGGGTTGATATCCTATGTGTCTGGTTCATTTTCTGGTGGCCTCAGGGCATGGTTCTGGGATTGGACTCCCTGGTGAGGTCCAGGGCCATGGTGGTGTCAACATGTCTGGCCCAGCAGGCCCTGGACATGCTTCTGGACCTCGCAGAAGCCCTGGCAATATTGCACTGTGTGGCTACACCCCTGCTCCTCGCCCAGGTCTGCTACCAGGCCATTCAAACTTCTCTGCCCTCCCTGCCCCTCTCAGCAACACAGTCTTCTCATCTGGACATCCTTGGATGCAAATCCTAGCTCTCTTCCCACCTGTCAACCTGAATTAAAGTGTACGCTGTTTTTATGAAGCTGGTGGTTTCTTGTTTTGTCTGGGGATGTAGAAGAGAGGCAGGAGAATGGAGAGAGAGAGAGAGAGAGAGAGAGAGAGAGAGAGATTTCACACCAGACTTTCCCGTCAGTGTCTGCTTCTCTGGCTGGCCTGGGGAGAAAATGAATGATGTGCAAACATCCTCGGGGCACACAGATGTTCTCTTGAAGTGTGGGGTTACTGCCATCTCAAGGGGGAAGAGCAGGGGGACCAGAATATGAGGAGAGCAGCTAAATCTAAACTAGAAGAGATGGCTTAGCTAGTAAAGAAGAGAAGCTGTTGCAGAAAGCAAATGAAATCGGAGTAGAAGCCAGAGAGAGAAAAACAGAGAAGGCTGAAGATGAGGCCAGAGCATGACTCCTCCTCCCGGCTCAGCCTGTCCAGCCTTACTACCTGCCTTCTGTCTCCCTGTTGGCTTTGCCTAGAGATCAGTGTGGTGGTAGGGAAGGTAGAGAGAAGCATCCTGAGGGACCTTACTTAGTCTAGGGAACATATCAAGATAATTCTAAAGCCACTTCCCTGGAGTCATCTCTCCGAGGTTTATTCCTCAGCATAATCCTAATCCCTGTGTGTATGTGCATGTGTGCATCTGTCTGTCCTCAATCTGCTAGAACCCATATCCACGTTAGATGCATGCATGTAATAACAGATGTCTACGTGTATACTTGCCTCTCCATCAGTGTCCGATTTGCATTTGGGTATGCTCCGATCTCTCTCAGGCCTCTCTCTTCACCTCATTCTGTTCTCCTTCCTTGTTCTCAGGATATGGAATCAGGATTTGTAATTCACTCCTTACCAAATGAGTTTTCCTTACTCCGGTTTCTGTATCTAGTCTTCTCCGTGAAGGATGTGTAGAGGGAAATAAACAAACCAAGAAGTTGTGAAGCCTGAGATACTTAATGGGGAAGGACCTGATCTGGCTGGGTCATGTTCTTGGATGCCAAGAATTTGGATCCCAAATTTCCCTTTCAAACACCTTTCAGCTCTCAAAATAAACCTTTTTTGTTTGCCACACAAATACATGCTTCTGCTTTCCACGCTGTACACTTTCGCCCTGGGCGCCCTCCCCCGCCGCCCCCTGCCTTTCTCTGGATGCTTAGTCATGATCCTGAGGGCTTTTTCTCAGCCAAGTTCAGGTGATGATGGGAAGGACCATGAATAAGCCCCACTTCATAAGAGGAACAAATACTTGCACCAACAAATTCACCGTCTACCCAAGATGCCACACACACACACAAATGAGTTTCTCCCTCCAACCCAGTCAAAAAGCTGGGGAGACTTGAGAGGTACCTTATATCTGTCTGAATCTAGGTATGGTCTTTCTTTTTTCAAAGATGTGCTATAGGGCTTCCCTGATGGCGCAGTGGTTGAGAGTCCGCCTGCCGATGCAGAGGACACGGGTTCGTGACCCGGTCCGGGAAGATCCCACATGCCGCGGAGCGGCTGGGTCCGGAGCCTGTGCTCCGCAACAGGAGAGGCCACAACAGTGAGAGGCCCGCGTACCGCAAAAAAAAAAAAAAAAAAGATGTGCTATAACTGGTTTCTCCCCTAAAGAGTTTCTGCTTGACTCTGGACTTTGGAGCTAAGTAGGAGAGTGCAGGAGAGAAGCAGAGATGAGTTAGAGCATCCTAGGCTCGGGGAATTTTCCTGGGTGGGTGCAGTGACAAATCCTCTCAATCCCCCACCTCCTGTCTCTTAGCAACCACCAGATTAGCTGCCGATTGGTGTATCCTAAATTGAAAGGCGGGATTTAGGGACCTATTAGAGGCGGGAGACATTCTGAAACAGAAAGGAAGGCAGAGAAAATGAAGAAGAAGGACATAATTTACAAACCTAAATTATGCTAAGGTCTCCAACCACAGTTTATGCATGTGTCCCAGTGTTCTCTTTTTTCTTACTCCCTTTCCCACCTATTCTCGTAGTCTGCCCCCTCCAGCACCTGACCACTCTCAATCCTTCAGACATTGGCCAACTCCTTTACAAGCTATTGAATTCGGAGGCTGACCTAGTTAAGGGGGAGGAGAGGGCATTTTCGACTTGCTGAATCTTCCAGTGTCAACCTGATGCAAGGGAGGCTTAATTTAAGACCACTGGGGTTGTCTTATCTACACCCCAAGCCATGCCTCCAGATAGAAATCCCTCTTTGCTCAGTCCTGTTAGAGAGACCCTCAGATAGCTCTGCAGCTCTCACATCTTTCACAAAAGAAAGGCAGAGGCAGAAGCCTGCAGCTGATAAGAGGTCAGGATGGGTTGGAGACGCCTCCCCATGGCTATCTCCTCCCCATTCCATCTCCACAGCTTTGCCCCAGTCCCCTAGGGGGCTGGCCTTTCCCTGTGTTATCTACACTGCATAGTTCCCTGTGTTATCTACATTGCATAGCTCTTCTGTAAGTCTAAACCTGGCCTCAGTCATTTCTTTAAGGTTTTCCTGGGGTCCTGTCACCCCAGTCCATTTAACCCACTGAATGCCACCAACCACTCCCAAACTAGTCTAACTCTGGCATCTTTTCTGAAACCCTTCAGGAATACAAATCCTACTTCCTTTGAACCCTTAAGAATTTAATCTCAGGGAAGGCAGAGACTTTAGCTGTGTATGAGTTATTGGGTCTAAAGAAAAATATCCTCTCAGAAAGATGACAGCCAGGGAGCAAGCTCTTGGGAACACTCCACGCCCTGGGTAGGGTCAGTCTGCATTGCTTCTTTATGGAGACTTATTTCCTAAGGTAAGGTGGAAGATCACATTGACACCCATAGTTCATTGATTTCAAACTGCAGCCCCTCCCAAAGGATTCAGGAAGCAAATATCTGGTCCTCACACCCTTTTATCTACTCCTATTTGTGTAAACCCCCAGCTCCATCATCACCTTCCTCCAGGAACCACCCTCAGAGAATTCTGATTGAAAACTTCACTGGGGTTTCAAACCCAATTCACTGCCAACTCTAATTGCCAGGGATTTGGATGAAAACCATTGTATGCTATCCAATTATTCTCTGGGCACAAGAAGAATCACAGTTTTAATTAACAATAGCGCACCTTGCAGACGAATGTGACTGTTTAGGTTAATAAACAAGTCCAAGCCCTTCCAAGTCATCTCTGCACATCTTCTAATGATTTGGGCAGGAAGGGCGTGGGGCATGCGGGCTGTGCGGGGAGGTCAGAAGTCCATTCAGCCAAAATGTGTGTCAGCTTTCATCTTCCCTATAACTATCTGGTGAAGGGAAGAGGGAATCTCCAGGAGAAAGGGGTCCTTGAAAAAATTGACTTAGGGAAATTTAGGGGCATAGTATTAGGGGGACTTTAGGCATCTTTACATCACCCTTAGATTTTTAGAAACCTTTTAGACACAGTTGTAGAAACAAGAGAAAGAGGTCCTTGTAATGCTCAAATATCTCTGATTCATTGTCCATTTGTTTGCAAATTTGATGTCTTCCATGAGATCCCCAAAATTCCCAAACCTGCCATTTCTCCCCATATTTTTGGGTATGTTCCTACCATATTTGGGGGACACTTAGATGTTGTTTACTCCCTAAGATTTCACAGATAATGTCTCAAGTTCCACCCTTGACCTCCTCAAGGATCATTCTTTGTTCGTTTTCTCCTGGGTAATTCTCTGCATCCTGGAAGAATTCACTGCATGTGACTCTAAACTGGATGTTTCTGAAGGGCCTGGGCCTTCTCTTCTCCCTCTACATCAGGTATCATCAATGTATGGGGGAGGGGAGATGGCAGGTCTCTTGGAAAATCTGATGAACGTTGTGAAGTCTCTTTTCAGGAAAATATAATATTACACCCCAAATTTGGTATTTAGTTCTCCCAGAGCTAAACTCATATGCTTTCGCACTGCCTATTGGGACTTCCATAAGTCTCCTCCCTGCTCACTAAGCCAGAGGCCCAGTGACCTAGGGGACTTTCTGTTCTTTGAATGGGCAAGTCCTGTTTCCACTCTAAGAGTCTTTGCCCTTGACATCTCTTCTGCCCAGGATGCTCTTTCCTGTGCTTTTTCCGTGACTGACACCTTCCCATACTTGAGATCTCAGTGCGAATCTCGCCTCCTCCAAGAATGACCTTCTCTGACATCCAATGGGCTATAGCCCCCGGCCACCTCACGCACCCACTGATTCCCCACCAATTCCCCTGAGATGTTTCCAGTGTACCATGTATCACACATTGAAATCGTCTCTTTCTTCATTTGTTTGCTTACCAGCTTATTTCTAATCTACCCTTCCTCCCACCACTAGAAAACTAGCACCAAGAGTGCAAGAACTTTTCCCCTTTTGTGACTGGAGCATAGTCAGAGCTCAGTAAACATGTGCTAAATATGGGAATTAATTAATTTTATATGAATAAAGCATGGTCCCCACCCTGGAGGGTTTACGGTCCCATGGGGAAGAGGAACAAATAAGCAAAGAATTAGCACAGAAGAACTGCCAGAAAACGGAGCTCCTCTCCCTAAGTCCTATAGGCCATCTCTCCCACACCATGCAAGCATCTGGGGGCTGAAGAGACTGGAGGGCCGTCAGCATACGATTTCTGGGAACCTGTTTTCTGGATCAACTTTCAGGTGGCTGAAGCTGGGGGACTTCACCACAGTTCCCCAGCCATGTCGGAGGAATAATGCGTGCTTTCCTTTGGGACAAAGCTGCGAGCTTTGGACAGCAGGGGAGAGCTGGGAAGGGCTGTCATTCTTCGTCTTTATTTGCGGAAAAGTGAGTCCCAGGAGACTCACCAGAGTTATGGGAGACAGTTTTCCATTGGCTCAGAACCAAATTTGGAGCCTAGCCACCTCCTCACATTTCATCACACTCAGCGGGAGAGCCCACACCCTCTTTGGATCTAAAAGTCATTTCCGTCTCCTTGATGATTTTTTTCTTCTCTGTTCTCCCTCCTCCTCTTCTTTAGTTCCAGCTTAGTGCCCCTGCCCCCTAGCCCTTCCCAACCTCTGAACTCTGGTTCCTTCTTTCCCATTCTGGCCTCTG